TAATATTATTTCGGGGGGAGGGAATTTTAAGTGTTAGGCTCTGAACACTTTTCAAGATGTTGACTTTTTATGTCCAGAATATCACATTCTGAAGCAATAAAAGGCCTTGTTTGCTTAGAAACAGATACCTGCATTTTCTCCCTCTGTCTCATCCTGGCTCACTACTGGAATGGGAGACCCTTGCAAGACCCAGCCAGCTGCATGCTGCTGAGCCAGTAGGTGGCACTGTCCTAGGCTAATTCCCTGTGTGGGAGGGGAGGGCCAGCGTGCAGATGGTGGGAAAAACTAAAGACTTCACCGTTTCTGCTTATGAAAGTCCCTGCAACACCTCAGTTCTCATGGCCTGCTCCCATTCCATCTTGGTAACATGTACCCTGCCTCCCTTAGCTCCCTCTGCAGCCTCAAGTGGATGCGCTATTCACCCTCATTTCCAGCCCTAAACGGTGTTCCTGTGCGCTGTTAATCAACTGTTCCTCCCCAGAGGTGGCTGCATTGCAATTTTGGGTCTTATCAGTTGCTGTTATCACCAAGATAGTGACTCAACGGCTACGTCTACACTGGCCCCTCTTCCGGAAGGGGCATGTAAATTTCACCAGTCGTAGTAGGGAAATGCGCGGGGGATTTAAATATCCCCCGCGGCATTTAAATAAAAATGTCCGCCGCTTTTTTCCGGCTTTTAAAAAAGCCGGAAAAGAGCGTCTACACTGGCCCCGATCCTCCGGAAAAAGCGCCCTTTTCCGGAGGCTCTTATTCCTACTTTGAAGGAGTAAGAAAGGGCGCTTTTTCCGGAGGATCGGGGCCAGTGTAGACGCTCTTTTCCGGCTTTTTTAAAAGCCGGAAAAAAGCGGCGGACATTTTTATTTAAATGCCGCGGGGGATATTTAAATCCCCCGCGGATTTCCCTACGACGACTAGTGAAATTTACATGCCTCTTCCGGAAAAGGGGCCAGTGTAGACGTAGCCAACAAGTCTGCTTTATTAAAAGACTAATTTTGAGCTCTGCCTTCACTGATCCTCAAAGTGAAATAGTGACACTTAATAAAACCACATCCATTGCTCAGGGAATGTGGGTTATCGGGTCAGTTTGTGTTTGGAGCCTTAATTCTCCATATCCTCGCATCCTGGGAGCCTCTTGAAAGGCCATGTTCCAGCCACATGGTTTTAAATTTACATCTTTGCACCACTCTCGTTTAGAGACACCCAGCTGCCCAGGGGAATGGCCCTGGCTGTGCCATCCCCTCACCGATTCCCATGCTGGGCATACAATCAAAGGGATCGTCGCTGTGATTTGGGAGCCCTCCCCTGCGGTAGCACAGCTGTCTCTGGGCGTGGATGGACCAGAACCCACAAAACGCCCATGCTGCATCTCCAGCCTTGTTCAGAGCCTGCTGGAGCATGGGCTTGTGGCCACAGGGATAGGAGCCCCAGCTTCTGTGCCCAGCTGTCGTGCTGACTTGCTTCCTTGGCCCACTCATTTCACCGCTCTGTGCCTCAGTTTCCCCATCTGTCAAATGGGGGCAGTGATGCTCATGTGCTTTTCCGGAGCCGTACAGAAGAGAGCACGCTAGAGCCATGCAGCATGCGTGCACACCCCAGGAGTAGTCAAACCTCGGAGGATCCAGCTAACTCACTGGGGGCTTTGACCAGCCCAAGGAGACACTCCGATGCCGATGAAGGGGCGGGCTCTTCTGCAAAAATGAAGGACGTGTTTGGTTTCCAATGCGATCTAGCTCTCATATGTGGGGGAGGCGCTGGTGCCCGCGAGGCCCGGTGTGCTCTCTGCTCCCTGCCTTGTCTCTTCGTTAGTTAGCCAGATGTTTGGTGTGACTTTAATCCTACTAAACGACCATCGTGTTGTGTGTTGTGTGTTGGTTGAAATCACAAGCTATTTTTTTAATGTTTAATTTAATTGTTATTTGAAACTCTCTTTTTATGCTTAATATTATTTCGGGGGGAGGGAATTTTAAGTGTTAGGCTCTGAACACTTTTCAAGATGTTGACTTTTTATGTCCAGAATATCACATTCTGAAGCAATAAAAGGCCTTGTTTGCTTAGAAACAGATACCTGCATTTTCTCCCTCTGTCTCATCCTGGCTCACTACTGGAATGGGAGACCCTTGCAAGACCCAGCCAGCTGCATGCTGCTGAGCCAGTAGGTGGCACTGTCCTAGGCTAATTCCCTGTGTGGGAGGGGAGGGCCAGCGTGCAGATGGTGGGAAAAACTAAAGACTTCACCGTTTCTGCTTATGAAAGTCCCTGCAACACCTCAGTTCTCATGGCCTGCTCCCATTCCATCTTGGTAACATGTACCCTGCCTCCCTTAGCTCCCTCTGCAGCCTCAAGTGGATGCGCTATTCACCCTCATTTCCAGCCCTAAACGGTGTTCCTGTGCGCTGTTAATCAACTGTTCCTCCCCAGAGGTGGCTGCATTGCAATTTTGGGTCTTATCAGTTGCTGTTATCACCAAGATAGTGACTAGGGATGCAAATGTAGGCAACCGCGGGGATTTAAATATCCTGCGCTTCATTAGCATAATCTCACCCACACTCTGTTTCGGAACTCAGCTGTTTCAACCAGGAAGTGCACTCCGGGCCGCGTTAGGTCGAATATAGTTCGAACCATGGGGTTTGATTCCAACTAATGTGGCCCAGAGCACACTTCCTGGTTCGAAACAGCTGAGTTCCGAAACAGCCCGAGGGTGAGGTTATGCTAATGAAGCGCGGGATATTTAAATCCCCACTTCATTTACTATTTCGGTCGCCTACATTTGCATCCCTCGTTCGAACTAGGGTGCAAGTGTACAAGTACCATTAGAGTGAAGGTCGACACTGGGGCTGCGTCTAGACTGGCAAGTTTTTCCGCGCCAGCTGTCTACACTGGCTGCTTGAATTTCCGCAAGAGCACTGATGATCTCATGTAAGATTGTCAGTGTTCTTGCAGAAATACTGTGCTGCTCCCGTTCGGGCAAAAACCCTCTTGCGCAAATGCTACTTCCGCATCACAGAGTCGCTGCCCTGTCCTGTGGCGTGTGGCACAGTGGTTCCTGGGGCTTCCCTCCCGCCATGGCGTGGGCCATGGAAAGGGGGGACCTCAGCTCTTCCTGGCTGCTGCTGGGAGGTGGTACACGATGCCAGCACGGAGGGGTCTCGCTGGAGTCTACTGGCCGGGACGCCCGCCCTGGAGAGGGGTCTTTTCTGCTCCTCGGAATATGCCAAGGGGGCCTTGACTTTGCCTGAGTTGAACAGGGCCCAAAGCTGAGCACAAGATGGCTGGAACGCCCCACGCCCAAGACAGTCCTAGGGGGTCACTGGCGCACAGGGCGGTGTGGAGCGTGCCGGGTAGAACTAGGCCGGGGGCGGGTCAGTCCAAGGCTCACAGAGCAGACGGGATGGTTGGGTGAGAACCGTGCTACCATGAAGGCCCACAATGCTAGTGTCTCCTCAGACCACTTGTCCATAGGCACCGGCCTGTCCTTGCAGCCTGCTGGAGACAAGGGCATCCTGACCACCGAGGCACTGGCGACTGCCTCGCTCAGGCCACACACCTCAGCCTCCCCCAGCCCGGCTGCTTGGTCACAAGCCCCAACAGGATTAGCCCCTCTCCAGAGGGGCGGCACAAAACAGTGGGTGCCCAGACGGACCCAGCGTTGCGTCAGGTCTGCTGCCTGGCCCTTTAACCCAGCAGGGGCAAATGCTTCTGGGAGCAAGGGGTTTCCACCCAGCCTGTGGGGTAGGCCACTGCCTCAGTTTCCCCCTCACTGCTGGACAGTTGAACCCGCTGTCTAAGCTGAACCAACTGCCACTCCCTCCCACTGAAGAGGCGGCCGCTTCTTTTCTCGCAGCAAGGCCAAGTCAACACGCCTGGGGGGAGCTAAGAACGGGGTGTGTATCCCACCCACTCTGTCACAAGCATCTTCTCTGAGCCCCAAGCAAACAAAGCGAGGGCCTGGCCCTGTTCTGCAAGCCACACCTCCCCCTCAGGCCTCTGGCCCGCTTCGATCCCAAGCTTCACCCTGGTCAGGGTCCTCCCAGACTTGTTCCAGATTAGAAACAAATGTGGGTCCACCCATTCCACTGGTCATGCAGCTCTTCCCACAACCACACAGGCAGCAATAACCCATCCTCCTGTCAGGGCTGCGAACAGCTCCCAAGTCATGCCCCCCTTGCCTGTTCCAGAGCCAAAGGAACTCTTTTATATACTGCTCCCTTTCCGCATGCATTGCTGGCTAATACATCTCCGACCAGTCCTGGGAACGACCCAAGTGAAGAATGCCTTGGCTGTGAGCCGAACTGGGAATAGGGCTTTGAACAGCCTGTGCACCCTGTGCTACAGATCCAAGGGCATTTCCTTAAGTAGTCACCACTTCCTGTCCTAAACTGCTGTGTTATGTGGCTTGTAAACAGCTGCCACGTTGCTCCCCAGAGGTGGCTGCATTTCACAGGGACCTTTGTGGTGATCTGATCTGACCTCCTGTATAAACCATGCCCCAGAACTTCCCCCAGCTAACCCCTATAGCAGCTGTTCTAACAAAACACCCAATCTTGATTTTAAAACGGCCAGCAATAGAGCTGTGGCATGAACACTTCTCTCTCTCTCACCAAGAGCTGTTGGTGCAATACATGCTGTTTCCTCACCCACCATGTCATGTCAATTTGCGACTGCTAATTTTTTCAATCAAAATGTCGTGTGGTACCAAGTCAAGGGCGTTACCACAGCCTACCTGTAATATGGAGACAGTATTCACTTTAACAACCAAATGTGGATTTAAAAAACAGACAGACATCTAGTTTGCTGAGCTGTATTTACCCTGAACCCATGTTGTTTTGCGTTAATTGCATTAGCCTCTTTGAATTTGCTAGTAGTCAGTCCTGAATCCGCTGCTCCATCCCCTAAGTCAGGGGTGGGTGAAGTGATCAGTGCTAAAAAGATGCAAAAGAAGCTGATTTTTCACACCCACCGGCCGCCCATTTTTGGTGGTCCTCTCTCTCTCTCTCGGTTAGGGCCTCTCCTGAACCTTACACGTTTTTGATTGGGAATTCACTTCTCCCTGGGAGAGGAGGAAACCTTTCTCCTCGCTGTGTGAAGGCTGACTATGGACTGTGACGGCAGCATGATGCAGTCCCGCCCCACTCTGCAAGGCAGGCCAGGATCCTTCTCCCGGTTGTACTACTGGGGAAACCGAGGCACGGTGCGGGGCCGGAACTTGCCCACTTCCAGCAAGGGCGCGCATTGGAAGTCAGGCGAGCCTGTTTGATAGGGCTAGGCCTGCAGTAGCCCTGAGACGGAGCCAGGCATGGGCGTGCATTATAATCCCCAAACAACACCATGACTAACCTTTCTGTGGCCCTTGTGCATGCCGCTCTGCTTGGGCAGGGCACCGACTGTCCTTGTTATGAGCCAGGGCAACGAACCCCCCCCACACACATCTTCCATCGCTCCAGGTCTCGCTGGACTTCTCCCACCACATTACATCTCCCAAAGTAGGGTTACAAGATGGGGTTCAAAAAATACCAGACACGTGAACTCAGAACAGGATGGGGGGGACTGGCTGGGAGGAGAGCAGGGCTGGCCGGGAGGTTGGGGGGAGTCTGGGAGATAGGGGGTGGAGGGACTGGCTGGCAAGGAGCAGGGCTGGCCGGGAGGGGCCGGGGGGGGGGGGGCGGGGCGGGGGGGGGCCAGGCCGGGAGGGTCTGGGGGGAGCGGGGCTGGCTGGGGAGGAACCATCCCGTGCATGGTCCCAGTGGGGCACACGAGCGAGTCCGGCCCCAGTATTCCATCCTGCCCCAGCCCCGCCCCCCCTCCTCTCTACTGCGTAGTTGCGTACTGCCTGGCTGGTAGACACGTTCACGCAGTGGGAGTGTGCCTACCAGCCAGACAGAACACAACTACCTACTGATACTCCTGATAATAACAAAACTGACTTAATTAGAAAATACCCGACATTTCTATATCCAGTATTTTCTCCATTTGTTTCCCAGACAGAAAGTTCAAATACCGGACTGTCTGGTTCAACACCGGACCCCTGGCAACCCTATCCCGAAGAGCAGCCGGCCAGTAGCTTCTTCAATAAATTAAGGTTTATTTGGATTAGTATCATTTGCAAATGGGTTCAATAAATTACAGAACAGATTAAAAAGAAAAAAGTCCAGTGCCCAATCAGAGGGGAGCTCAGCACCCACCATGGCTGCAGAGCCCGGCGCTGATGGCAGTGGCTCAGCCAGGTGCCCCCTGCTGGTGAACGGCCCACTTGCTGGGTCCCCTCCTCCGGTAAGAGAGGATGTGCTCCTGGCTCCTGGGATGTTGAGCTGGGTCTTGTCCACTGGTCCCTGCTGCACCCTCTTTAGCCTGGCCTGGCCAATGCAGCAGTACTTTAAACGCCAGCCCGGGCCCGAGAAGCGTGGCCAAGCCCAAGGGAGCTGTCTCACACCCCCCACAGCTATTACACACACACACACACACACAGCTAGTGTCGGATTGCAGAACAAGGAGCAATGGTCTCAAGTTGCAGTGGGGGAGGGCTAGGTTGGCTATTAGGAAAAACTATTTCCCTAGGAGGGTGGGGAAGCACTGGGACGGGTTCCCTAGGGAGGGGGTGGAATCTCCATCCTTAGAGGTTTTTAAGTCTCAGCTTGACAAAGCCCTGGATGATTGAGTTGGGGGTGGTCCTGCTTTGGGCAGGGGGCTGGACTTGATGACTCCTGAGGGCTCTCCCAGCTCTATGATTCTATTATTCTAGCTCTCTCTCTCTCTCACACACACTCTCTCTCTGTCTCTTTCACACACACACACACAGAGCTGTCTCACATACAGAGCTATCGCACACATACAGAGCTATCACACATTTTCACACACGAAACTGTCACACACACAGCTATTACACACACACACACACACAGAGCTGTCTCACATACAGAGCTATCGCACACATACAGAGCTATCACACATTTTCACACACGAAACTGTCACACACACAGCTATTACACACACACACACACACACTGCTAATTTCAGCAGGGCCACAACAGTCCAACCCTTTGCTGCCACGGGCCTGAAGCCAGAGGCTGGGGCTGGCCCCCAAATCCCGGAGGCAA